TTTGCAGCTTTCTCTGCTTCACGCCAGGGGGCAGTGTCTGTCTGTGGACAACACAGCTGTCCTGAGGGTATACACTTGGGGGCTAAGACCTCTTTGCTCAGGGCACCTGGAGTGCCCCCTCTCGTCTAAACTGAAGGAAGGAACACCAGGCCAAGGTTCCCCAGCTTACCTAAACCTCTCTGGACACCCACGCTCCAGGGCTTCGGCTCTGAGCAGGCAGAACTACATTTGAGGACAGATGACATGAGATTTGCTCAAACTAGCAGACATCTGACCACATGTCTCCAAGTCACAATGAAGAAGCTTATATCACGGGGGCTTCTGTGGGGGCTAAACTCCTGGTTGTGCTGAGGGCCCCCTGAAGTGATCGCTGGTCTTAACGATTGGCATATGAAAGGGTCCTCACTATGCTAATGGGTGAGAGGTCAGAGGACCCAGATATCCACCAGTGACACCCCATCCAAAGGGGGTGTGGCCATGAATCTCCCGGAGGGGCTAGGATACGGTGACAAATGCAAGTGTGTAGGAGAGCCGAGTGGTGGCAGTGAACAACACAAAGTTTAATTAAAACCCCCTGAACAAAACCCATTCTACCCCGCCCTCCTACTGTAAAGTGACCTCAATCCACAGCGTAAATGGACTCAAGGAATTTCAAAAATAAATAAGACTGATAAATCTACCAGCGCAGTGATGAAGTAATGTTTTATCATTTTTGCTTCGGATGTTTTAAATCCAGCATTCCAGATAACAGAGGCTATCTCCTGTGTATCCCTCCTATACCCTTTCCTCCCAAGAGGTAACAATCCTGTTCATTGAGTATGAGTCTTTCTAATCCACATGTCTGTACTTCTACATTGTTCAAATACATTCACCAACCAAACATAGTATTATTTCCTATGCTTTTAAAAATCGGGGTGCAGCAGACCTCTCCTGACTCACCCGCTGCTCCCCTCAGCAGTGTTTCAGTCAGTCTGCTTGCTCTGCTCCCCGCTCTGTCTCTGGTGAACCCTCTCACCCTCCTGTGCATCTGGCCTGTACCCCGGTTCTTGTATAAATAAATAAATCTTTAAAAAAATAAAATAAAAAAATAAAATCAGTACTAAGAACATGTGTCACATTGTATCTATCATCCTGGTTATTTTATTTTTTATTTAACATCGTATTCTAGAGATATATTCAGGGAGTTGCGTATAAATCTAGTTCATTATATTCTACCAAATTCACACCACATCTTCATTATCCAGTTCTTCTTTGAGACTTATTTAGGTGATTACTAATTTTAGTTATTACAAACAGCACTGCAATAAACCTTCCATCCTGTTCTCCTTATGCACATTTTGAGAGATCTAGAGATACTGCAGAACGTATACCTAGGAGTCCAATGTTGGGTTTCAACTCACTAGATGGTGCCAAATTATTCTCTAAATGGGACAGTTCTTACTTCTCATTTGCATCACACTTGTACTGTTAGACTGTTTAATGTCTGCTTATCTAATAAGTGTGAAATGATATTTCATAGTCATTTTAATATGCTTGTCCCAGATGACCACTGAAGGTAGACATCTTTTTACGTGTGGACTATTAGCGTTTCATCTTCTGCAAAATACCTGTTCAGTCATTCCACTTTCAAAAACACCATGAAAAGGTATTTACTGTGTACATGATATGAATGCACCGGTCGTACCAGGATCTGAAAAATAAGGTTGAGGTTATTAAGAGTTTGCATAAAAATGGGGCCTTTGTCAAGCTGGGGCTCACAGCAACATTGCCACTTTGCTGGTGAAACTAATGCTTGTTACAGGTTACATGCTCTCGATAGTTTGAGGTTGCAAATTATACTACAGCCTGTGATTCACAGTCCTGAGAAAAATGAAGGAAGGAGCTGGGCTTCGGGCTTAGAACAAAAAAGTAGAATCCATTTTTACTTTATATCTAAAGGGATCAAGAAACAAAGCATTGCACTCCAACCTCCCTCCTCCAGACAGCCTGGCACACAAGCACACACATCACAAATACAAAATTACCACATGGAATGCCATCAGAAAATAGAAACAAGAATAAACAGAATTACTGATATTTTTTGGAGAACATCACTAATCTTTCCACTGGTGCTCAGCATAGGCCACACCTTCTGAGAATTTTTCATGTTTAAGTACCACAGAGAGCTGGGAGGGCACAAATATTTGGGGGTAAGAATTTTTCAAACTTTACAATTATAAATCTTAATGTTTGTCCGTAAGACAACCATTTTCACATAAGGCAATCCTTTTGTCCTATAGCTCTTTGCTTAGGAACTTTAAAATGACAAACCACTATTATCAGGGCTTTTGCATCTTATGCTGAAGAGAAATCTATAAATTCTGTATCTATTCTTCATGTCTCTGAAAGCTGACTGCTAAAGGCAATTCTGAAGACTGTGTTTGCAAGGAGCATAAGTCTCCAGCCAAAGGAAACTGGATCTTGAGATAAATTTTGAGGATCTATGTGATAGCAGCAAGTAATCCAAGAAAATTAACCTAAAGACCTTTGGTGTTGTTTTGAATGTGATTTTGTCCTCTTACTTGAACTTGAATACGTTTGAAGGGAGTTAAAACCATTTACTGATCCCAAAAGGACGAAAATGCAAAAGGATCTAGAACATTTCCATGTCTGTCCCTCAAGTTTGGTGTGTCCCGCTGGGGTTGGTTGGTACCCAGCACAGATTAGAGGGAGCTGCTGCTGAGACAGACGCCCTCTCCTGGGGGCACAGGGCTCTGGACATGCTGATGGGCCACTGGCCTGCACCTCCCTTGGGCAACAGCAGACAATGCTTTGGTTTTAAAAGCAAACATCCATCTCCTCTCATTTAAGTCCACTCTGAAATGGTCTTATGTTTTCCCTTTTCCTTACTTTGCTGTTGGGGGCAGCAACCCCAGCACTGAAGGTTGGGAATTGGAACCCAGAGGGTGTCCTGACAGGCTCTGACAGCCTGCCCTCTGGGTGGGTCTACATCAAGAGAGCTGGGTAAGGACCCCCTAGACTCCCTGTCCCCAGGCCAGCTCTCCTCAAACCATCTCCATCAACAGCCTTGGCAGAGGGGTCTTTGAGGGACCCCTCATATCCAGGATAGTTTGGGGAAGGCCAGGGAAGCCTGGACCAGGTGTCCTAGTGGGCAGGTGAGTCATCACAAACAATTCATGCCTGAGAAGGATTCGCTGCTGCCTGGATGGGGGCATCTCCTCTGTGGAGAGAAGCACAGCTACAGGGCACCTCCCCAGCCACACCTACCCCTGTAAGACCTCATCCTTCTATGGCAACTACTGGCCACATGTCACTCAGGGCTCAGTGAACAGTCACCGCCATGGGCTTGGACCTCTGGTGCCAGACCCTAAGTAACCAGGTCAACCATAAACAAAAGCAAGGGAAACTTAATAGCAACTGGCCTCTTGGTGCGATCCCCCACTCAAGGCAAACCTAGCCAGGTGAGCCGACACCTAGGCAGGTCAGGAGATGGAGTGCAGGGATGGAGAGCTAGGGTGCTGGATTGTTTGCAGAGGGAGTTAAGTTCCTGGAATTTTTAGCAACAGGAAAAGAATTTTCTCCAAGAAACAGTTGTAAGTGAGCATCAGGCAGCAAGAATATAATTCTAGTCTGTATTAAACCCTCTTTTCTGACTTAGCAGGAACACTTTTGTCACCATAGGGAAAGTCTGTTTAAAGCTAAAACAACGAACTTAAAAAGAACTTCCGAACACTGCAGATGTGTGAACTGAGAACGTGTTTTACTAGGGAAAAAACTAGCTCCATCTATCTGTCCATCCTTTGAAAGGCTCTTCTGCCTGGTGATAAAATCAACTGAACTTTCATTTTATTGGAAAAGAGAATCAGTAAGTCAGTATTAGCTCCACCTACATCCTTTTGAATGGCTGCCTCCTGCGGGATAAACAACTGGTAGACCGATTTTTCTTATGAACACCGAATAGTTCCCTCAGAATAACGATGATCACCTGTTAACTGCAAGTCTTTGTTGAACTGTCTGCCCGCCCCATCCCCACCAGAATGCAAGCTTCACAGGAAATGGACTTTGATTTGTCCACTATGGAGCTTCTGCCCAGCACACAGTAGGTATTCATTACACGTGTGCTGAATGAAGGAATGAGTAAAAGTGCTGACTCACACTAGGCACTAGTAAAGGATTTGTGAATGAAATGCCTGCAGTATGCTGGGAAAAGAAATTGATAATCAAACGGGCCATTTAACCAAGCAGAGGAGAAGCACCTCTCACCTGGGAAAATGTTTGCAGTCCAACTTACATCCTATGGAACATATATTCTAAGGCGGGGTGTGCAAAATGGTTGGAGAATTCTGTACAGCCAAGAAGTGACTTCATCTTATAACCACTCATTATAGATGGCACTTCAGTGGATCAAAATCTCAATCCAAAAGCTGACTCAGAGCAGACGACCCGGAGAAACTTATACCAGAGAGAAATAAATCTGAGGCCCTAAAAGTCCCTAGAACAGGAATCCCCTCAAATCCAGGAAAATAAAGTCAGCAGATAGGAGAGTGGAGGGGCTGCTGGAGACCCACCCCAGAGGGCAGGCTGCCAGAGCCTGTCAGGACACCCTGGGGTTCCAATTCCCAAGAGAAGGGCCACAGGTTAGAGTTTAACACTTTCCTTTCACATTCGCAGAGTATTACAGGTAACAGACATTTTGCATCCCTTTTAACCAGTTCACTGGCTGAAGCCCCCCAACACACACACAGGCGAGTGCACACACACACACACAGAGCCCTACTCCTGCTCCCCGGCAAGGGGTGGGGAGGCAGGAGGCAGCTGGCCCAGGCTGGGAGGCTCTGGAGTGGACAGGCCTCAGGCGACCTTGGTGTGGGGGGCCAGGCCTCGGCGCGGCTCCCCCATCCTGCCCTGGCCCCTGGGGTCGCTGGCCTGCGGGGCGCGGCGGGCGCCCGGGCCCCAGGGCGGGTGGAGAGTGCTGGGGGCCGCCGGGACGCGGGACTCACCTGCAGCAGCACGGCCAGCAGGAAGCACAGGTACATCTGGTAGATGCCCAGCTCGCCCACGGCCTGGAACGCCTCCTCCACCTCCATGGCAGGCCGCGCCTTGGGCCGGGCTGCGCCCGAGCTGGGGCCGCCTCCAGCCCACCCACCGTTATTGCGGGGCGGCCCTGGGCGGCGCCCGGCTCGGACCCGGCGCGGAGTGGGGGCGCGGGCGGGGCGCGGGGGGCCGGGGCCACGCGCACCGCGCGCTCCGAAGCGCCCAACCCCGGCCAGGGCCGCGCGCCAGGCCCGGCTGGATGCGGGTCCCGGGGCCTCCGAGCTTCCTGTTAGGGATTTTTCTTCTGAGAGGGATTGGTGTCTGCGCCCTTTAAAGAGAGAGGCGAGAGGAAGTGGACTGGGGTGTGGCATCCTCCCGCCCGAGAAACCCGAGCACCCCTGCAGCCCAACCCGCGGCCCCTGCTTTGGTGTCGCCACCACTGTTGCGCGACCAGATGGTGGCCCAGACTTGGGTGCCCTTTAGTGCGCGCATCAGGTCAATGCGCGCGGGGGGAGCAGGTGAGGGGTGAGGGGCAGTTTGGAGGTGCTTCGGCTGGGGGGTCGTTCTAGATCCTTCACAGATGAGCTCTGTCCAACATTTCTCTGCAATCCTATTCTGCCGGCCATGTGTTCTGGTCCTAGGTAAACAAATTCTTGCAAAACCTTGAGGTATGTTTGCATAGGCAAAGATGCAAAAGGTACAACGTGAACATAAAAGAAGAACAAGAAGGACAAATCTGTGGACCACAGGTGGTGGCTGCCAAGGTGTTTAAAGGGTAAATGCATCTGCCAGGCTGGAAAGGTGGAGAAAGATAGGCAGGGCCGAGGCGCACTGGGCACCTGCCGTAGTTCTTCACCCTCCACCTCCTTGGGGGGGTTTAACAGCAGTATACTATTCCATCGTCTGGCCCCAGTGGTCCATTGTGGTCCCCAGTGCAGTCCTGATCAGAGACAACGGCCAGCTACTGTTTTATCTAAGATTATACATGAGACAGTGAGGCTGGTGCTTAATTTTCTTCTTACTGTCTTGTCTGGATTTGAGGGTGAGATTATACACAGTAGTTGAGTGAAATGCCCAGGAGGGTTTGTTATAACTCTCCTTCAAACCATCTGGCCTTGCCTGGCTTTGTGGCTTTCGACAATTTTTTTTGTAGAAAGTTCAGAAAAGTGGATGCATGAATTCACTAAAAGTGAATCACTTTTAGTTTCTTCTTGAATTACTTATGGTTAATTTTTTCTTAGAACTGTTTCTATTTTATGTCTTTTTTTCTTTTGTTTTTTGGAATAAACTTGTTCATCTGCTTCTCTTAGGGTTTTTGACAATCACACTGTAGCTGTATTTAGGCCATTTTCATTCTTAACATTGTTCACTTTTGTTGTTTCATTCTCAGCAGTCCTGCTAGAGATTTGTGTATATTTTTAAAAGAACTAGTTCATGTACTGCTTGTGTACTTTTTAAAGAACCAGTGTTTATGTTTCTTTTTATATATTTTTTCTGTTTTGTAGATTATGTAAATTCTTTTTTTTTTTTTTTTGCTTTTGTTAGTTGGTAATTCTTTTACTATATAACTCATGGCTTGAAAGTTTAGCCTATTTGCTTTCAACTTTTCTTTTTTAAGAATAATTGTATGCAAGACTATTTTTTTCTCTAGGTAATACTTTGCTCTGTCCCACAAGTTTTGTTACGTGGTACTTTCTATGTCTTTAGTTTTAAATATCCCATGACATTATAATTTCTTCTTTAATCAATGAGCTACTTGTCAATGCATTTTTTCAATAGCTTCCACTTAAAGGTCGTTGCTACTCTTCAACCATCTCTTTATTATTGATTACTAATGTAAATGCTTTGGAGACAAAGATGATGTGAAATCTTTGAAATGGAGGAGTTTTTTTGAACTATGTGATCATTTTAGAAAAATGTACTGAATGTATTGGAAATATTCTCCATTTGTTTGGGTCCAAGCTTCTCCATATCTATTAGATCAAACTTGTTAATTTTATTCAAATAGTCTGTATTATTACTGAATTTTCCTCTGCTGAATATATCAGTTTTTAATAAGTGTGTCAAAATCATCCAATACATTTCTCATTTCTGAGTTTTTATCTAGTTCTCTTGTTATTTCTGTAGATTCATAAACACACCAATTGAGTTATTTATTTGATCATAAAATATTTATTTCTTCTTTTAATGCTTTTTGTCTTTTCTGAGTGCCTTCTGTCTTAATTTTTATTTTGTCTAATATGAATAGTGCTGCATCAGGCATATAATTTTGTTGTCAATATTTTCCTTGTAATCTTTATACATTCATTCTTTCTGTTTCTGGTCTAGGTGTGTTTATGGAAGGAGGACAGTTTTACCTATACAATTTGATAGTCTCTGTCTTTTAATAGATGAGTTAAATCCATTTATATTTAATATGAGTGAGATATTTGGAATTTTTTTCTATCATTTCATTTTGTGTTTTCTATTTACCATCTTTTTTTTCCTTCCTGATCATCTGCCATTTTTATATTGCCCTTCTTTTTTTTTTTACTGTTTTGGAAAACTACAGATTACATTATTATTATTATTATTATTATTATTATTACTATTTGGATAGTTATTCTTGTGTTTTTCACATTTACGTGACTATACACATTTTTACAATGTATGTAGTTATTTAATAAAGCCATCCTCTTTTCAAATACCCAAGAACCTACATGAGATTCCATGAGTACTTTATTTGAGAAAATGTAGAATATGAAGATGAAGATGTTATGTTCTAGAAAACTGTGATAGGTGACTCAAGAAGTGACTACTGCAGTGACCAAAAAAAGAAAAAAACTTCCATTGTTAAAAAAAGTCCTATACTTAAAATAATAAGAAAGCAAGAAGAGAATTTTATGTTGTTTCAAAGGAGTATGGAAGCATTGTGTGAAACAGTCCTCCTAGGATTGTTTAATTCTGTAGAATTTGCCTGTGTTTGACTTTGCTATTTATAATCAAATGGAATCCAGATACCATGCAGTTATGTGTAGATATATTTGTGTGATAAAGATACAGTGATTATGTTTGGTAAGAAAGATAGCCTATTATTTCATTGATCTATAAAACATAGATTGTTTTGCATCTAATCAGGTGATATTATTTTTTTAGGTGTTATAAATGAAGCTTTATTGTAGGTAAAAGTGCACACTGGAGTGTGCATGTAGGCAGATTCAGAGGGGAATAGCTAATCTAGCAATCTTATTTTAATATTCTATTTTTCCCTATAAATAACCAGTTATTTAAATGCCCTTAAAACCAGCTTTTCCATCCTCATGGCTCGCTTTGACATGGGTTCATTCTATATTGGTAACTTAACTTTTGAAAATATTTCTTTGGTATCATGGTGTGGGAGTAAAAAAGTTATAAATTAATATTTTATAAGATATATAGCTAGAGGGACAAAGTAAATGCTAAGTAAAAATTGTGTTATGTTATTATTAAAGTTTACCTAGTTAGTGGGCTAAAAAGGCTACTATAGATTCAGTAACAATTCACCTTATATTGGGACATGTGTGCTAGAAGCCCTTGGATAATGTGAGAACAGAAAGTGAAACCTGGGGAGTGTCAGCAATTAGGCCTGATAGCAGCCAGATATGATGTGCTTGGGTACTTGCATTTTTTCCTACAGGTGTTAAGGAACCACTTATGTGTTTTAATTTGGAATGGCAGAGTGGAAAATGCTTATAAGATGGGTGGAGACACTACTGTAATGGCCCGGTCAGTCTCCAGTTTGGACCTGAAAGCTTAAACCAAAATAATGATAATAGGAATGGAGAAATAAAGTCCACTTTAAGATAAAATAAGTAAAAGTTGATAGTGATTTCATTGTGCAGAGGCAAAAGATGACTTTGCAGAGGCTTTGCCGCCCAAACATGGAGGTGCTAGTTAGTAACTGAGATAGGGGACACAGAAGGTGGAGCAGATTCATGATGGTAGACTGAAGGCCCTATAATAGGAATTGCTCTTTTAAAAATAGTCGTTGCCCCTTTAAGATCCTGCCCTTCCTCCTTAACCCACCCAGGCCCCTGCTGGATTTCCTTGCCCTAATTTACTAGCCGCACCAGAGCTTCTGAGCATGCTCTGAAGGAAGACCTGTACTAATTAAAGCTCTCCTGAGGCTCAAGGTATTGCATCTGTGGCTCTTAGCAAAGAGTTCTATATTTCCCCCATCTGACCATTCTTTTCTCGTTTTTCTCATTAAGTCCTTCTTCACCATAATTTTATAATATTTGTATCTTTCCTTTTTAACTCAGGAATAATGAACATCTGGGGTTTTTAAATAATAAAAAAATTAAAATAATGTTTAGAATAGGTTATCAAATATGCACTTATTGGGCAATGAGGAAAAAAGGTTAAATTTATCTGGTGAGTTACATAAAGCTTAGAAGCAAACGTAGATATTATCATTTTGTTGTTGTTGTTGCAAAACCTGCAACCTAACATTGTGTCATGTCTTTTGCTTCATTGGTAATTCCGTGTCCCAGTTGGCTACCGACATTTAGTGCATGAGATAATGGATTTCATGTATGTTAGGTATTGTTTCAAATCCCTGGAAATCGATATTGTGTACCCACGGAAATGTACTCAGAGTTACTGACTTTTAAAAATAATATGAAGGTCATTTCTTTCTGTGTAGGACAAATAAAATGTTGAGGTAACAATTTGTTGTTAATATGGCACAGGAACATATCTTAGTAAAGCTAGCCAAGGAGCAAATACCTATGTCTACATTAAATGCATATAGATGCAGCAAATAAAATGGACATAACCAATTCACTAGGAAGCCAATTGGGCGGGTAGATGTCTGGGAGGGAGGAGCAGTAACACAAAGGGAGGAGATTCAAAAAGAAGTGGAATTAGCAGTGACATGGACTTACTCCTCATCTGACCTCCCAAAGCAACAACTGCCATTCAAAAACTATTGTTTAGTGAGTCAAGAACATACAAAAGTTGATCTAAATTTAGGATGGGGGCCTCCCTGGTGGCGCAAGGGGTTAAGACACAACCTATGAAGCTATCTGCCGCCACTACAGCATGAGTTTGATCCCCTGCCAGGGAGCTACCC